TGTTTTTCTTGCTACAATTTGCATACACTTTGCATGCAAAAAACTGGCTACCAGCGTCGAGTCGGCTCCAATTAACAGGAACATTTTAAACTGAAAAAACTTCATTAAAAGCGTGTGTGATCAAAATTGTTAATTCCATGAAAAAATTAGTTTTTTGGTAATTCAAAAAATGAATGCTTCTATAAAGTGATAATTGCTGAAACCATCATCAGCCTATTTATCTTTCTTGATTTATTCTTCAGCTGCTAAAACGTTGAAAATTACGGGTAGGTCAGTATGAACGGTCAACAATTGGGGGATCACTGCCAACACACTTTTCCAATTTATTTAAAAAATGAAACTTAATGATTATTTGTGGTGTTTAGTGACCGTTAGTTATTGATTATTTGGAGATCGTGAAATCATTTCGTTTTGGAGATTGTTTTCTTTCACATCCTACATAAATTTGTAAAAATTTTTTTTATTACATTTATTTGGTATTTACAACTACAAGTGATGTATTAAGTAAATATGTTCGTATATGTTGAACTATCATTTGAGGCTCTTGTAGGAGAAGTTGCCCAGTGGTAACACTCCTTCTCACTGATTTGTAAAATTAAAACAATGTTTATAAATCCCAAGCCCTGAAGATGATTTCAATAAAGATCGAAACGTTGGCACGATAAAGAAAATGTTTTTCTTAAACCTACATCAGCCTAGACCGCATCTCACGATATCTAAATAATAATTACTGATTATTATTTATCTTCAAAATTAACCAGATGATTTAATTATGTTTATGCTATAAGCAATCCATTTTATAAACATACATCTTTTTTTCGCTCGTCAGCGGTTTTTAATTTTAATTTGTCATTTCTTATTAAATTGAAAAGAGTAAAAAGCGCAAAAAGATCCTCGTTGGAAAAAAAAGGTTGTCGTAAAATAGTTTTCTGCGAGGGAAGCTGACGGCAATTGAAAGTTGACAATGAGACTGCTTTCTGCCCATTGGGCCGGTAAAGTGACACCGAGTGGTGTCGGTGAAGAGGAAAGAGAGCTTAGGCAGTAAAAAGTGCTTTTTACTCGTCCTTCGAGAGCCCATTGTTCGCAGGCACATCAGTAATAATTGCTACCTCGCAATCGTCTTTTGTTTGACCTTAAACGCGCTCCATTTAATGTTAAAATTTTCTTTCTTAACTAAGAGTTGGTTCTCTTAAGATAACGTATTTTGAAGAAAGGTTTGGTGTATATCGATCGAAATATAGAGTTTAAAGGTTATTTAGAGAACGTGAGATGTGTGGTGTGCTATAGGTTTAGAAAAACATTTTCTTTATCGTGCCAACGTTTCGACTTTTATTGAGATCATCTTTAGGGCCTGGGATTTGTAAACATTGTAACATTACAAACAATTTGTAAACCTTAGGCTAAATACGCCGCTCCTCTACCACTTGAGCTATCGTGACTTCGATCCACTGGCTTCCCATCTGTGTGTCCAAATGGATCGAAGTCACGATAGCTCAAGTGTTAGAGCAGCGGCGTATTTAGCCGAAGGTCGTGGGTTCGAATCCCGCTTGTGACACTGACTTTTTATCTCAACCAAAACCTTAATTAAAGATTAATAAATTGAAAAGAATTTATTTGGTCAAGCGGACCACAAAACCTAACAAATGTAATAAGCAAAATGAAGTACACTTCACTAAAGCTCTCCGGGGCCATTTCATTTGTCTACGAGAATCAAATAGATTACACGACATTTGAAAAATGGCAAAACGGTGGGGTTGAGATGGGAAGTTAGTGTCCGAGTGGATCGAAGTTACGATAGCTCAAGTGGTGCAGCAGTGGCGTATTTAGCCTAGGTCGTGGGTTCGAATCCCGCTCGTGACACTGACATTTTTATCTCAACTAAAAACCTTAATTAATTAATTTGGTTAAGCGGACCACGAAACTAATAAATGTAAATTGTTTAATTTATGCAAATAAATATATAAGATATGACTAAAAATTTATACAATGATGCACACAATATAATAAATTTAGGTTTAATCACAGTATTTGTCCTCACTCAACGTATGTGTTTTTTATGTAAAAGTGTCACTGTTGTGTGGGGAAGGAAATAAGGATAGAAATTCATTTTCCTATGAGAAGTCGGCTTCTTTGAGATGAAGAGGACCGGCAACGGAAAAAAAGGATAATGGTTTGTCGTTCGGGCCTAGCTATAGCCTTTCAGAATTATTATAGACGGGATTATTAAGGATAGATATAATAATATATAAGGATAGATAAGGATAAGGAGAGTTAAATTGGAGATTTGGACTAAGTAGAAATGTTTGAAATGTGGAGTGTAATGATTGTTTTATATGCTGTACTATATGTTTTATGTGTTATATGTATGCTATTGATGTTGAATTTGATTAATGATATTAGCGTAGTTGTAGCAGAAATTGTTTGATGTGAAAAGTATAACGATCCTTTTATATGTTGTATTATATGTTTTGTGTGTTATATGTACGATATGTTATTGATATCGAATATGATATTAGCGTATCTGTGGCTGAGTTTAAACATTTAAATACTACACAGTGTTTAAATGTGACAAAAAAAAGATGATTAAAATATTACTTGACTTTCAAGAAAATAAGTAGTAAACTGACAGTTCAATCATATGTATTATTTGTAGACTTAAGACAGAACACTACAAAATGGAATTAGGCTATTCGTCATCGTCCATTTTTGACATGATGCTCAATATTTGCTTTTCGTACATGTCTATATGTTTTTTTAACATTTGCTTCTTTGGACCCAGAAGACGTTGAAATGTTGTAATGTCTAGAAATGCTACTTCGACGTCTCCGACCGCATATGCGGATGAAGTACGACGCAATTTGGTCATGAGAGCCGTTTCGCCAAAATGGCCACCTTTTCTTATGATGGACTGTGTGGTCTTAACCCCTCGAATTGTTTTTTTAATACAGACCGCCCCGCTGACGACAAAGTACATACCGTCGCCTATTTCGTCCTCTTTCATGATGGGTTCTCCGTTTTTGAACTTTTTTATTTCAAGGGCGTACGTTATTTCCCTTTTATCTTGAGGTTTCAGCGGCCTGAGTTGTGGGACTTTTTCAACTATGCTTTCCAGAAATTTGCTTTGTACGACTTTCTTATAGACGTGCCTAGGTAACGCCCATAAACTCGATTGTGTCACGGCCTTAACGGTATTTGGGTATTTCAGAATGTTTTCATACATCATGTTCATTTCGCCGAAACTTCCCCACCTTTTATAAGTTTTGAGATTTTTAAACGATTCATCGTCGGTCACATAGGCTTGGCACTTTCCGGAGCCCATGATGTAAAAGAATTCGCTCTCTTCTCCTTGTTGGATAATAATTTCCCCAGCTTTGACTTCTTTCTTTTCAAGCGCGTCGACGATGACATTTATCTGATCTTTCCCCATAGATTTGAAAAGAAAACTGTTTGAAATCGTATCTCGTATCATACGGTCATCATCTTCTGTTTTAGGATGTTTGGGAAAGCTTGTCAGTGCAACATTCACCACGTGGCTTTCCAAATTCTTTTCTGGACTTTCGTTCTTTCCCATGTTTACAAAGCCTATATTTCCCGGATTCTTTTTCATCTCGTTGAAATACACCATCCCAAACAGTAGAAAGTCCGAGGGCTTCTGCATGAGGTAGCAGATGATAAAGTTTCTCAGCTCATATCGGAGAATGTACAGATATGGATTACCTTGTATGTAATTATCCCATTCTTTCGGTTTGTAGGATCTGTGCAGGAAAATGCTACACGATCCGACAACGCTTTCGAAATTTTTTACACTTAAGTACAAAACACTGACTTGCCCGACTGCATAAGCGCTGAACTCGCTAGGCTTGTAGCATATCAAACTGAGAATATCGGTATGATCTCCCTTTTCCAGCAGAGTTTTTCCCAAAGTGATAACCTTTCTAGGCGGACGCGGTTTACCTGTCGTAAGCTTAATTTGTCCACTTTCGACAAGATAAACACCGCGTACATCCTTGCCTTCTTGAAAAATCATTTCACCATTCGTCTTTTGCACCAGAATGAGTTTTTTTGCCAAGGTTTCTACCTCATTCGGTGTTAGGTCTTTGAAAATGCGAACATTCGACAACAGACTTTTACCCTGCTCAATCTGTTCCATTGTTTTTGTGCTGGGTTCGGCCCCAGGAGTAGATCCAATCTGGCTGTTCGATCCGGCCGAAATGTCAAGTTGGAAAGACGTCCCGACTCCCGACGATTGTTGGTACCTCTTTTCGAAAAACATCGTCCCGAATTCGCCGATATTCTTCGGCATCTCTTGTAAATAGAGTATTGCAAAATCCATTAGAATCGAGTAGACTTTTTGGGGGAATTGCAGTACATCCAATGAATCGGCCAACTTCTTTTCCATCGTGTGTGTATTTGAGTAATGTGAGTGGCATATTTATTTATTTATTTAAATAAATGGACAGATGAAAATATATATCATATTTTTCTCCTTCTTCTTACTTGGTATTCTCATGTCTGGGACGTCGATTTACCAATCAAGAATTGTTCTCGAAATGAATTGTTTTTCTAAATTTTCAAAAACAAAGAAATGAATTCACATGAAGATTAATTCTATAAAATCCACCTGATATTTATCCATGACCTCATGTTTACAAAAATTTTTATTTTTTTGGGTTCTTCGTCAAATTGATTCATAAGTATCATGAATTAAATTGATCTATCTAAATAAAACCTCACCAATTTCCGATATATTTGAACATCCGCATTAAAAAGTGAGAAAATGCGATTTCATATTTCTAAAGCCATTGACGATTTCTAGTATGCTGACAATGTATTTGTACCAATAGGAGTTTAAGGCATTACATAAAAATGCCAACAAGCAAATAGTTGTTAAGCTAAAACATACTTAAGCATACATGGTTTTAAATTTATGTAATGGCTACATTTTTGTTTTGATTTCTGAAAAACCTGTTCAATTAAAGTAATATAACATTAAAAGCCAATTGACCCAATAAGTAAATTTATTACGTTAAATTATTTAGTCTCTATTTTCATTCGTGACGCCATCTGGATCATCCGTTTGCGCCGCTTTGTATTTCTCGGCGTTTCGAGCCATTATTTCTTTGCACGGACCGAGTAACCTCTCGAAAGCTTCGATATTGAGAAAAGCGCAACGTACAACTCCAATGGCGTATGCGGACGCCGCCCTTTCGGACTTAGTTACGAGGGCGAGTTCGCCGAAGTAGCCGCCTTTGTTGATCGTCGTCAAGATTACTTCCTTGTCTTTGTCTTTCTTTCTGATGACTACTTTGCCCGATTCGACGAAGTACATTCCGTCCGGTTCGTCGCCTTCTCTCATAATGATGTCACCGTTTTGGAAGGTCTTGGAAGAAAGAGAGTCAGCGAGGTTCGTCCTCTCGAAAGGGTTCAACTGGTGAAGCATGGGCACTTGTTCGATCAGTTCTTCGTACAGTTTTCTCTTCTTGAAGGCGCTTTTGAGTACTATTTTTCTGAAGGTGCCTCTATCGAGACACCAGACAGAGCCATCTGTGACTGCAGTTACCGTAGCGGATCGCGGCATGCTGTAGAGCAAAGCCAACTCACCAAAACTGCCATTGTTTTCGTATGTGGAAACTTGTCTTTGACCTCCAGTGTCAGTACGTACAAAAGCCTTGTACTTGCCGCTCTCGACAACGTAAAAATAATCTCCCTCGTCTCCTTCCTTGATGACGTCCTCACCTGCTGCAATTTTCTTAATGAACATGGCGTCAAGGACTGTAGAAAGCTCTTCTTTGCCCAACCCGTTGAAAATCAAAACCTTCCCGACATGAGTTTCCAGAGCAGCTCGCTGGACGTCCGTCTTGGGATGAACGGTCGGCAGTTCTTCATCGTCGGCGTCGTCTTCAGGATTGTAAGCTTCCGCGAATACAGACTTCCTACGAACCCTGGGGGGCGGGCGAACGGTTTCTTCTACATGCTCTTCCACAGCTTCCGGCGAATCCTGTCGCTGCTGTGGTTGCTGTTCTTCCTCTTCTTCTGCCAGATAACGCTCTCGGACCGTCGAGGTGTATTTTGATTTCAACTGGGCAAAATAATCGATCCCGAATTGGATGATATCTGTCGGCTGCTCTATGAGAAATGTTACCGTTAGATCCAGGAGCAATCCACGGAAAGCCGGGGTCACGTCGAATCGGTTCACTCTCCCTTTTGTAATCTTGTGACCGGATTTATCGTTCTTCCCCATGTTCACCCTATATACACTTAAAAAAGGCGTAAATTAAGTTAACTTAAATTTTAAAAAAGTTGCGTTCTATCCTACTAAACAAATGATTTTAGTTTATCAGTTTATAAACTGATACACATGTTTACTGAAACACCTACTACATGATGAATGAAAAATAGGTTAAAATGAAACTTTCTCCCCTATGTTATCACCCGATTTTTAATACATCACTATGGAGTTTCCGTAATTAGTGACATCATTGTTAGCCAGTAATCATAAATCCGGAATTCAGTTTTTGTGTATTTTAATAAATATAGTACCTATAGTATTTGTTTCCATTAGTATTTTAGAAGTCTAATTTCTAAAGTTTCTAATAAAATTATGTTAGAAACAATGAAAGTAAGGCAATTACAATCATCCCTCCAGAAATAGAAATCCATACGAGCCTCTGTAATTCTATGAGTTCTCTTTGTTTATTGTTGATTTGATTTTATTGGATCAGACAATCGCACCGTATGTGAGGATCGGTCTCACCATTATTATGTACATCCAGATGAAAATATCTGGTCTACAACTCCGTTTTTTTAAATACTTGCTTTTCGGGCCAAATACAACTTCTCTTGTATGTTCTTTCCCGTTTTTCTTAACTAATGGCATATTTTCCTTTTTCTCTCCCTCCACTTTCTGCCTTAGGCTTGTCAGGAAATTTTTGTCAAATGAAAATGTCCCGTTCATATCGTCCCTACAAGCCATTAGTATGATATTCTCTCAATAAGACGGTCATATCCTTCCATTTATGTTTGAATACCTTTATGGATTCTTTTTTATTGAAGTTAAGCATAGTTTTATTTAATGACTTCCTTACCATTTGATGAGTGGGACTTGTTTTAACGTTTTCCCATTTGAGCTAATAAACAATACGTGTTTTCATCGCTCTAGTACATACGGTTTTCTTTCCAAAATAAGAAGTCTAATATCAACTTCTACCGATGTTCAAGTATAGGTTCTTAAACGTTCTTAATACATTACAAATAGCAGCAAGCTTGAAATAAAAATGATTAAATGTTTTATTATTGTGTAGTATTCAGTGACTGTTAAATATTATTTGCAGATCGAGAGATGCGCTTTGTGTGATGTAGGTTTTGAAAAAAATTTTCTTCATGGTGCCAACGTTTCGATCTTTATTGAGATCATCTTCAGGTTCTGGGATTACAGACATTGTTTCGATCCATACAAATAAATGTAAGATGTGAATATGGATTTATACAATGATGTACACAATGTAGAAATTTTAGGTTTTGTTCAAAGTATTTCTACTCGCTGAAAGTATGTGATTTCTGTGCAGATGTGTTACGGTTTTGTGTTGTGTTGCGAGTGTTGGTAAGATATAAATGTTTTTTTTTCTTTATATATGTTTGATTTTGAAGAAGTGGGGAAGGAAGTAGGGATAGAAATTAATTTCTCTATGAAGAGTCAGCTTCTTTGAGGTGAAAAGGGCCGACAAAGGGGAAAAAGGGTGAAGTTTGTCGTTCCGGCTTAGTTATCTTTTCAGGATTATTATAGACGGGATTATGAGGGCAATGAAGGATAAATTGTTAAGGATTTAGACTATTTAGAAATTGTTTGTTGTGTGATAGGCCGTGAACGAATAGAATGGATATGTCTGTTGTTTATCTGTGTTTTGTAGAATACTTTGAATGTGTACAAATATATTGAATAAATCCATTTATGTTTTAGTGTCACTTGACCAAGTTACTTCTTTCAATTAATTATTCTTTTTATGTAAGGTAGAAAGGCAAGACCAGATTGAGATAAAAAAGTCAGTGCCACGAAAGGGATTCGAACCTACGATCTTCGGCTAAATACGCAGATCCTATACCACTTGGGCTATCGTGACTTCGATTCTCTCGGACACCAACTCTCTATCTCAACCTACCACCGTTCGAATTTTCCCTCTTTTTGCCATTTTCAAATGTCCATTTTTTATAAACCTAAAACTTCTGTATCGCGTCATTGTATACATTCATTTTCATATCTTACATGCATTTGTATAATCCTAACAATGTTTGTAAATCCCAGGCTCTGAAGATGATCTAAATAAAGATCGAAACGTTGGCCAATAAAGAAAATGTTTTTCTAAACCTACATCATACATGACCACATCTATCTCCAAATAAATGTTTTAATAATATTAATTGATTTACGAAAACGATAATATCATTCAATTTAAATAGCAAGCAATGAGTGATTATAAAACGGTTAAGTCCGTCGCAATTTCCGATGGGGTTGCCACGTTCATGAATTAATTTAATGCCAGTAGATTCCACAATTTCGGGTTTCGTATATCAAGGAGCTCAGTGTCCAGTAGCGTCAGCCGGATCTAATAATAAGTCGGCCGGCTCTCTGTCGTTAATCTACCTCATTGTTAGCCGTTGTTGACGAGGAGTGGAGCTCATTTTTCACAACTTATGACGGCTTTTGTGCTGTCGTTGAGGGGGTCGGGGCTCGGATTAAAGGATTCCCAGGCCAGGTGAAAACAGCAATATGCAAATGAAGCCTGGCTACAATGGGGGCTTGATTTCAAAGGTCGGACCATAAAAAAGTAATAAATTTGACCAACTTCGTTAACCAGAGCAGTTTTTTGTTGTAATTTTTGGTTTGGTCCAAACGACTCTTGCAAGTTAATTAAGTGAAATCTACTTGTGGAGAAGGAAATGGCTTTTATTATAATACTTTACCATAGGTAAAAAGCAAACTCCAGAACACCATACGAGTTTTTTATTCTTTAAATTTTTTTTGATAATCAAAAACTGGAGGGCAAGACTGAATGAAGAAAAATGTGATCATTGTTCGTTCACATTGACAAAGCAGACTTATCCTCCACTGTACATCAACAAAAAGATATACCGACCTCTTCTCAAGTCATATACCAAGGGCAATACCTTGACAGTAGACTGATGTAGAATCTCTACACAAGACTTCAATGACCACAACTGAAGACTTGAATGACTACCAAGCCTACCCGGACCGCAATCCGTATTGACCGACACCATTAAACTAACCTTATACAAGACTGTACTGCGACCACTTTGGACATTTGGGGTAGAACTGTGGGGTTCTGTTAAGCCATCTAACATACAGCGCATCAGATCCTTCCAATGAAAAGTCCTCAGCCTCTTGACCGTCAGAAACGTCAAACCTCCTCATACGTCACTAACCTCACAATTCACAACCACCTCAACATACCTTTTGTCAACGAACCAATCCCGAATCTAAAAGTTTAACCCCAACCTTTCGATCTGTCCTAAACTTATTGCTCGAGTCCTCTCTACTCATGTCCATCCAGTGAAACCACCCATCGCTATAAATCACGATGGCCTCAAAACCTCCTTGCCCTTAATCCCTCCCATGGAGTGCCAGCATTGGCTGGTTTCTCATGGTACTGACTTCCGGGTGCAGTACTAGCATTAGAGTAAGTGCTGTGACCGAGTGAAAAAAATAATATGTAAAATTATGTATAGGCTACCAATTAAAATGTATGTAAATAAATAAAAATATGCAAAATGTTAAGGAAATAGTTTTCGAGCTAATTATCATTAGGTCTTAATTTAAATCTAGATCTAAATTGTTTAAATTTAAAATTTTCTTTTTCAGTTTAGCTGAAATATGCGCATGTGTTTGCTATGAATGTACCTCTTATACCGGTACAGACCCATCAGCGTTCTTTCTGTGATATCCAAAATCCTCTAAAGAATCTTTTTTAAATGTTTGTTACACATCCTTGAAATACACAGAAGTACCAAGCAATCCTTGTGACCAATTAGACTTCTGCCCCGTTATTCTACGATCCAGAAAGGTTTTAGTCGTTGACACTAGTTCCTCCGCTCTAGAGGACAAACAGGCTGCTTCACAGTAAGGTTGGGTACAAAGTTCGGCAAAATCTAACTAATTTAATCATAATTAATTCAATCATGAGGTATGACTAAATCATATAATGATTAATTTACTCAAGACTAATACAATCATGATTAAACTTCAATCAAAATTCTTAATCATGATTGAATTAGTTTGATTTTGCCCAACTCTGGCTACAATGACCAACTTACCAAAATCCAACCGACTCCGGATAAAAATTTTGAGATGAGAGTTGTGCACAAGGCCAACCTTCAAAAATTGTTATCATAAACGAAAACCAAAGTTACATAATTATTCTACATGTCTATTTTATTACAATGAAGACCCGTAGATGGTGTATTTACCAAATAATGTAGAAATCTCTCCTTTTAAGTGGAATAAATTTTAATTCAAAGAAATATTTTTTCCATTGATCGGTTATGTAAACATATTTACTTTTCAAAGCGTAGCTTGTTATAGGATTTTTTTATATTATTTTATTATTATTATTATTATCATTCTCATTATTTTTTGGCTTTTCATAACGATGGAGTTTTACATATAATTGGAAGATTGATTTTTGTTGTTAAGATTGTTAAATAAGGTGTTGAAGGATTTTCGTTTTGATGAAATAAATTTCTGTTAGAAAATTTTTTAAAAGTGATGAAGTTATTTTTCATTTTTTGAGCACCCATTTGAACATGATTTATCGAAATTTAGTCATGACTAAATATTGTGACTAAAATAATTATTTAATTACTAGTCATGACTAATTTAGTTATCAATCACATATGGCGACTAATGACTAAATTAGACACTTACTACCAATCATGACTAACGGTCTGAGTGATCAATCATTAATCATTAGACATGACTAATTTTTGCCCAACACTAGTTGGGTGACGATTACTCAGATTTAAGGCCAATATAGACGGGAGTCCCACAAGGGAGCATGCTTGGTCTCATCCTTTATACTGCTCGAATCGTATTCAAGCGACATCCAACATCCAAGGGCATCTAGCTCATCGAAGACGGATATGAAAAGTGAAGACTAAACGAAGAAAAATGTACACGTGTACATATTAATTGACAAAAAGGTTTTTCTCCTTTTTGATGAACAACTAGGAACAACTGACCACTTGAATCACATTATTAGAAATCTAAACAAAAGACTGACGTCGAACCCCCGCACAAGAAGAAGGAGGAAACAACTTAGCAAAGACTGGGTTACAAAAAGGACTTTTAGGACCGAAATGTGTTTTGATAGTCAAAATTCATCCCAACCAAGCAAT